TTGACTATGAAGAAAGCAGTCTTCTGGGATTTGGCACCGTGTATATGTGGTGTTAACCGACGTTTCGGAGGAACGTATCGCCTCCATCTTCAGGGTAGAAGAAAAAATATAAGAAATCTGCAAGCAGATTTCGGTTAACACCACATATACACGGTGCCAAATCCCAGAAGACTGCTTTCTTCTAAGGTTATGTTGGCGTACATGAAACATGGGAAGATAACAGCGAAGAGGAACGGTGGGCGAAAATTAACATTTACAGAAAGAGATCGTCTTACATTGGAAAGAATTATTTCAAAAAATCACAGAACTACTGCAGCACTGAGTGTCTTGTAGACACTGTTTTCACAAAACTGTCCTACGTGAGCTTCACAAATCCAACATCCACGGTAGGGCTGCAAATGCTAAACCTCTGATTACTGAAAGTAATGGAAGTGTGCGCGTGATATGATCAGATGAGTCGTCCTTCGCGCTCTTCCCTGCATCACGAAGAGTTTACGTTTGGAGAACACCGAAGGAATCCTAGAATCCGGAATGTCTGGTTCTAACAGTGAAAGACAGAGGAAGTTCTGTGACGGTTTGGGCAGCAATGTCGTGGTACAGTGTTCTGCTGGTCCCATTGTTACCCTTCATAGCCGAATTACTGGAAGGGGGTACGTGGACAGGTTGGGTAATCAGGTGCCTCCCTTGATCCAGATGTTATTCCCGAAAAACGAAGCAGTTTTTCAAGACGACATTGTCCCCATTGACATAGCTGGAACTGTTCAGTCGTGAATTTTACTTGGTTTATCCTGCTCCGTCACCCTAGCAATAGTATAAAAGAGTATTAACGCCGTCAATTGTGATTGATAAATGCTATGATTTTCTTATCTTTAATCCTTTACATGCTTCGGTCGTAGCGACCATCTTCAGAAGGTCATTATCAATGCATACTGAAACTATTATAATGTCATTAACCATTATCAGTACTTGCAGAAACTACAATTATAATGTCATAGATATAAAATATTATGCTGTAATACATACTACGATATGCATGAATTTGTTAAAACATTTATAAATTATTATAATTAATCTATTTCAAAATATTTAAAGGAAGATAAATATATGCCACGTCATAGTTCTGTTGTTTGACTCTAGTGTTGTGCAGTTGTCAGGCCACGCTATGTTGTTATACTTCCTTCAAAGAAAAGAAGTATGAAGGATAAGCATCGGTTCTAGATTTTAACAAAAAGTTTTTTAAACAATGCTTTGTACTATTTGAAGTCGAACTGTATGGAATGAACACTATGACGAACTCCATACTTCTTTACGTTTCCTGGTGGAATGCCCACGGTCCATTTCGTTTTCACGGCACGTTGCTCGACGTCGTTTGAGATGATGGCCGTACTGCGTCTACTGCTCTGACATTCCTGGTGCTCTTTTACGTCACTTTAAAGAAATTTTTCGTTCAAGTCACTTTATTCGTATTGTTTTAGGGTTTCAATTACATTGTCATACACAACATTATGTACCATAGCTACGTTAACGCACAGTTCTTGTGTGTCTAACGTTGAACTTTTAGCCCCAGTCTAGCCCATGTGTCCTTTTTTTTTTCCTGTGGCGCTACAGCCTCAATTTGGGCCTAGGCCTACCTCCATGAAACTCTCCGTTTCACTTCGGTTTACTAGATCTTACACATTCGGTAGGACTCCTTGGGCGAGTGATCAGCTCGTCGCAAGGCCTCTACCTGTAGACAAACACAGAAAAACGCACACAAACATCCATGCCCTGAGTGGGATTCGAACCCACGATCCCGGTTTCCAAGCGAGCGAAGACAGTATATGCCTTAGACCGCTCGGCTACCGTGACCGGCAGCCCATGTGTCAGTCCCCTTGATATTCTGAAAATATAGCAGAGAATATTATTTAATTTTATCTCTATTTTTTTCNTTATCTCTTAACTATTTTTTTCTTACTGCTAGTGGGGTGGGACTGAGTCCCTTGTACTGCGGCCACTTCTGGCCTATTGTACCAGCCCCAGATGATAGGCAAGGGTGATTGTGGAGCAATTGTTGGAATGAAGATTGGCAGGGGAAACCGAAGTACTCGGAGAAAATCTGCCCCAACGCCACTTTGTCCACCACAAATCCCACTTGACCAGACCCGGGATCGAACCTGGGCCGCCGCGGTGGGAAGCCAGCAACTATATCTCAAACTAAGTACGGTATTAAATTCAGTTTTATTTAGGCGCAAATAGCCGTCGACAAAATGAACACATAACACGAAGGTATGTTAACACCTTCCACATATATATCTTCCAAACTAG